CCACCCCCCCCCCCCCCCCCCCCCCCCCCCACAAACCCCCAACCCCGGGGTGTGGGGGCTGACCTACCGCCTGGTCTTCTGCCAGGGTTTTGTCGGAGATTTTTTGGGAAGGCAGGTTGCTCTTTGTGCTGTGTCCGCTCTGAGACGTTGGGCTGTCGACCTGCGAGCGGCCTGAGCGCGACTTCACTCGGTGAACCGACATGGCGGTGGACCGGCACCATGGCAACCGGCCAGTCGGCTGTGCGCAGGCGCCGCACCATCTCCCACCCTCCTGCAATCTGCAACAGTGGTTTCTGTAACAAGCATTGCCCAACATTAAAACTCATGGGATACAAACATTTGGCTTTGTTTAACCAAATACTTGGCAATATGGTAGAATGCATAAGTTGCATACGCATGCATTCGATTTATGTCTCAATTGAAAAGAAAATCAAAATTAAAATCCATTTGTATTATCAATTACCACAGTTTAACTGATTTTCACTATTCTTTTATCGATGACATCTTCAACGTAACATGCATGAGAATTAATATGCATAAAACTAAAATAAAATTGCAGCTAACCATTGACAAGACTATAAATGTAGGACAGTGAGAAATAGGAACGGGAGTAGGCCGTTCCGTCCCTCGAGTCTGCTCCAGCATTAAATAGGATCATGGCTTATCAGACATTCCTCACGTTCACGTTCTTGCCCTTTCACATACCCCTTCAGTCCAAATGCAACGCATCTACTTGTTCATTTTTTATACATTCTGGCTGAGACTGCCTCATTTAAAAAAAGTTCTATTAAATTAGTCAGGCACAGTTTTTCTTTCATTAAGTCACACAGTCTCTGCTCAATTAGATTATGTTCTTCCTGACGTTGTGTTACTACTTCCTTAATAACTGATTCCAATATTTTTCTAACAATGGATGTTAGGTTAATTGGCCTATAGTGACCCACTTTTTTGCCTTTTTGAATAAGTGTGTCACATTGGCAGGTTGCCAATCCTCTGGTACTTTTCTCCAGAATACAAGTATTTTTGGAAAATTACAACAACTGCATCCTCTTTCTGTGTGGCTACTTCTTTTAAGATCCTCGGATACAAGTCATTGGTATCAGGAGACTTATCTTCCTTTAGTCCTATTAGTTTGTCTAATAATACTTCTCCAGTTAATTCCTCTCCCATATTCTTTAATAATAGTGGGATATTCAAAGTATCTTTCACTATGAAGACTGATGCAAAATATCTGTTTAACTCCTCTGCTATTTATGAATTCAAACAACAGCACCTCCAGCCCCCCCTCAATACTGCACTAGATATTGAGAGTCAATTCAGGTCTCTGGAGTCGGATTCAAAGACCAGAATACAACCACCAAGCCATAACCCATATAGGGGCTGCTTAAAAACTTTTACTAACTGTGGTGATGCTATCACTTTAAAAAGGATATTTTGTCCTGGGATTTTTTTTGGCGAGAGATTGTAAGTGAGATGAGAGAGGTGCCAAACTGACTACGGAAAACAGCTTAATTATATAACTTAGGAGGCTTTTTGGTTTTATTTTGAACAACAGAAGCGGGGTGGCCAGCTCTCACAGACCAGGCTTTCTCGTGCTTTTAGCTGCAGTAGTTGGAAACTGTTTGGGATCCCAGAAGGGTTGGAAGCTTCAGTAAATGATTCCTAGCTACGACTTTCTCTGAAATCTCTACTGATATTGCTTCCTCCTGGATTGAAGAACTGCATGTAAGAATCTGTGTCTGAATTTGCCTTTTTGCCAAGGGGTGTGTTTATGGAATGTTACTATATTAGAACAGTTAATTAGTAATAGGTACTGTATCTATTAGTAGGTTAAGTTTTCCAATAGTTAAGTTATACTAAATTGCTCTTTCTTTTGTTTGTATTTTAACTGCAGTGTTGAAATAAATTGTTTTCTGCTTAACATTGACTAGTTTGACCAGTCGCATCACATCTGGAACATGCACTTCACATTTACCTTTAAAATAAGAAAAAGTTAGAGTCTTGGATACCTTCTTAAAGTATTTTGAGGATGTCTGGTCTGGTCCATAACATTAACATTATCAGAATGACCTATAATCTCAGTAATGTTGGATACAATAATGGTACAATACAATTGCCTGTTTATTGAGCCAAAGGCATTACTGTATCTAAAACAATGGTATATCTATACCACTAGGTTTGGTTTCTTTCTAGAAAGTTTGCATTTTGCTAATCATTTGAAACCATAAATTGCAGCAGAATGATTAGCCTAATATCTCCACAATTAAACCATGACTCTTATCTTATCAACTTAATTTTTTCCAGCTTATTTTTTCATATTATACTTTGGTGCATTGGTAAAGCCTGGGAGCTGCAGGTTGCAAACACTCAAATGGAGAAACTATACTTCCTTTCTAAATATGCTTCCAACCTACACTATTTTCCTATTTGCTCCAATGAATCTCTCCATAGAAACCAAGGATGTAGCTTCTTCAATTTGTTTTACATTTATATGTTTGAAATGTTCGCTCCATGATGAAAGTTATTCTAAATCTGACTGAAAACATATGGATTAACATCACTGATTATCTAAACCTAACAACAACATTTTTTAAAAGAATATCAGTAAAATATTACAGATGTTCACAAAACTCTTGGAATGCAAACTTATCTCACTTTCCAAGTTTCAGCTTTCAGAAGTTTGGAAAGGATATCTGGTTAAAATAATTCCAACTCATTAGTGCAAGCTACACCAGCATTTTGAAAATGAAGTACTATTCGATGTTCACATATATTTTACTGTTTATCTGTTTACACTAAATGATTAAAGGTCAAGTCTAAAACTTGAAACCAGGAGGGACCATTGCAAGGTGGATGGCTGCAGGTCAAGATGGTATGTTTAAGTCTAGAGTGAATTTTGGTAAAGACTGGTTCTGCAATCACTGATACAGCTGGGGATAGCAGGAACTGCAGATGCTGGAGAATCCGAGACAACAAGGTGCAGAGCTGGATGAACACAGCAGGCCTGACCCTATCACCTTTCTGCTCCTATGATGCTGCTTGGCCTGCTGTGTTCATCCAGCTCTGCAGTCTTTCTGCTCCTATGATGCTGCTTGGCCTGCTGTGTTCATCCAGCTCTGCACCTTGTTGTCACTGATACATCCGCACCGGTATCAACCTCCATTAGAACTAGGTGACCATTTAACCATGCATTTATTTTGATTGGTTCTGATTTGGATGTTACTAAGCAATTTAACTGTTTCAAACCAGTTGTAGGTGGACTTTCAAGTGCATGCACTCACCTAGGTACCAGCTTATGAGTTCTCTTACTCAATTTAGGCGTAACAGGACTCTTACTGTCTCGAGTCCATATATCGGCAGCAGCTATTATAGCCTGCCAGCCCAGTGGGAAAACATGTCAGTCACAGCAAGTAAGTGTTTGCCTAAGGCTTGGCTTTATTTTGGGGTTTTGCTGTGGGCTGACTGGAATCTATCTGTTCAAGAAGCTGTGCAATTGCCTTCCCTCAACTGGTGTTCTCCGAGCTCAGTCGGCCTGGTGGGGATGTCCACCTCCGTTGGAATATCCCGTAACTTATTAGCTTCACTTGCCACATTTTCTAATAACAAAGCCAGCTGTAGTAGTGACTATTGTAGTTCAGGCACTTTCACATTGTCACATCATTAATTCCACTCTTGTCACCACTAAAATAACTCCATGTAGGCCAGTATCCCATCACAAAGTCACCCTTTGTTTGCACGTGCATAGTACATGACACTGATCTGGCTAGAACCAGCTCCTAGAACCACTCCAGTTTATATTTGTCAGCCAGGACTCCCTGATTGGACCAGGTTAACAGGCCCAATCAGTGAACTCATATTCTATGACATCTACTTGGCTGAACTTGTTCCAATCACAATAATAGCCAAGTACGATTGTTTTATTTATTGAACTTTCTCTCTGACATGGGTGGAAAGGTTGGTATATGCAGGTTAGCTTTAGTATCCTTGCTCTCCTGCTGGTGGTGGTCATAGCACTGAGGGTTGGAGCTGCTTTTGGAAGGAGCTGTACATAAAAGGCAGTTGGAGCCAATTATGAAGTACTCAACTGAATGAAAGTTAATCTCAGTGTGTTGAAAAGGGATCTGGCTCAGGTGCATTGGATAGACATTGCCAGGTAATCAGTAAATTGAAAAGGGAATCTCTCAGTGAGGGAGAAACTCAGGTTCAAACACAGCACATTCTCATGAGGAAAATAAGAAAGGCATCCAAATCTAGACTTCCGGTAACCTATGCTGCAGCAAGAACGCGTTCAACAGAAAGTAAGTCAACATTAAAGGGTTCAGCTGCTGTATTGCAAAGGCAGTTTTGTAAATTGACCAAGCTTTGAATCCCAGCATGCTTTGAGTAACAGATGGGGCTTTTAAATTATTTTTTAACGTAAACTGTCAGCTAAATAAATCGAATATGGAAGGAAATTATTCATGCAGAGACACAACTGAATGATTTTACAGAAATGCTGACTAAGTAAGAGGCTGCATAGATCACACTGTGACACGTTTGTTTAAAATTATAACCATTCTCTAGATGGAACCCTGTGGTCAGGTTGTTAACAAGACCTACAATCAACATTGTGTGCAATGAATTGGGTTCCACTACATCTATATCTGTGTTCTCGCCCTTTGCGAATGTGAATTTCGAAACTGTCACTGGAATAAAACCCATTCACCCACCTTTCAGAGAACAGCATCAAACAGACAATATTATTCCCTTGTCTGATAATGAACGATCCACTGAACCAGGAGGAGGAGGTGATCAAAAATCAAGCACCCTGCAGGTCTGTAGAAGAAGAAAAGGTTAAGGTGGTACAATCAAAGATGGAGGGCTGCATCAATCATTTCTCAGAGGTATGACCTCTTTTATTATAAAAGTGTGTGTTTAGGGACAAAGTTCAGCAACTAGTAAGAGAACTGGATGGATTTGACATCGATACGTGTTCCTCCAAATTATTTTGAGGATGTGATGATTGATATTAAAGAGCATAAAAGGAAACAGTATCCATGAGTACTGTTTGAAACATTGCATTGATGTTGGTATGTTATGGTTTAATTATTGATTGCATAAACCACTGAGTCATATTGGACTTGAAATATTAACTCTGTTTCTCTTTCCAAAGATGCTGCCAGACCTGCTGAGTTTATCCAACATTCTCATTTTTGTTTTAGATATCCAACATCTTCCACATTTTGCTTTTATTCAAGTGTTTA